ATAGAGAGGAGTACATACAAAAAACGAAATAACTTATCAAAGAAACCAAATGTAGGAAATTAGTAAAGGATCCTACTGAGGAATACCAAGCTGCAATAAAAGAGACTATAAAGAAATCTACAAAAATAAGAAAGGCGAACCAAATAAATACTTTGACAACTATGAATCAATCAGCTCCTCCGATGAATGCACTACCTAAACTCCACAAATCAGGCACACCTATGAGACCAATCATAAACCACAAATCGGCCCCAAGCTACAAACTATCAAAATATTTAAAAACTATACTAAAGGATAACCTTGGATTGCCCAATAAGAACACAATATCTAGTACAACGGAATTGATTGAAAAATTAAAAGACTCAGTTATCACGTTGGATACTAAGCTGGTATCATTCGACATAAAAAATCTATACCCATCGATACCCATAACGGAAACAATAGATATCCTATTCAAAATACTGACAGAAAAAACAAGAAACAGAGAAATCGCCGTGGAGATAACTAACGCACTCAGAACGACGTTGCGTCGAAACTACTTTAAATTTAATAACAACGTATACATGCAAACAAACGGGCTAGGCATGGGCAACCCCACATCGGCGATTCTTATGGAGGTATTCATGCAGAATTTGGAAGAAAGGTACATCACAACTAGGAGCGACGTTCTACGCCAGATACGTTGATGACATCATATGTCTTATAACCAGGGAACGGATTTTTAGGACCTAAAAACCTATAAAAAAGGCAAAATAAAATAACGGAATAGGCTGGAAAAGGCAAAATAAAATAGCGAAAAAGCCAGGAAAAAGCACTAGGTGTTGCAAAAAAGGCAAAACAAAATAGCGAAAAGGGCAGGAAAAGGCGCTAGGTATTACAAAAAAAGCAAAATAAGGCACTAAAAAAAGACGGAAAATACATTGAACCACAAGATGCTTTTTGAAGTTTTCTGGCGACATTTTCATTCGATTTTCGCGAAGAAAAACCTTCAATATACTAAATGTGTGCTCGACGTAAGTTGATACAAGCGGCGCCCAATTTAAATATGGAACGTTTGAAACGTTCATACTATCAGGAATAAGGGCGTTTTCCTCGCCCTTTATAATTTTATCCACACCCCTTATTGACTCCAAGCCTTCGTTAGCTGAGAACACGGCTTTGAATTTTTCCAACACCAATTTGGCAAGAAGTCTCTGCGCTTCTATAAGCCGCATGGGCAATGTGTATATTTTTTAATCTTAAAAAAAAAATTATAAATGCTATAATCACTTTTTTAAAGGTATAATATCTTAAAAAAGGCAAAAAAAGGCAACATCAAATGTGTATGTATGGAATCAGGGAAAGCTAAATCGTGGACATTCTTAATCGAATATACTCTATCTCTTTAGCAGAAAAAAAGGCAATTTCCATAAAATCCGTTCCCTGCTTATAACAAAGGAAAATGAAGAACAGATATTGGAATACCTCAACAAACAGCACAGCAACATAAAAGTTCACAAAGGAACAAGAAATGGAAAGAAAGCTAAATTACTTAGATCTGACGATCAAAGTAAATAAAAACACCAGTAGTCTGCAATATGAAATTTTTAGGAAGCCCACAGCCACAGATACAATAATACATAATACTTCGAATCACGGGGAGGATGAAAAACAAATTTCCATCGATAACTTAAATCTGTGACACACAATGGCTAGAGGCGTCGCCTGAGTGCATTCTTTCATATATTTATGTATGTGCCAGTTTTACCGTTATATATTTTTTATCTACTCGTTTATTCCATGGG